GGGAAGGGAAGGGAAGGGAAGGGAAGGGAAGAGGAAGCCATCCAGAGGAACCTTGACAGGCTTGAGACATAAGCCCATGCCAACCTCATGAAGTTCAACAAGGCCAAGTGGAAGGTCCCGAACCTGGCCTGGGGCAATCCCAAGCATAAATGCAGGCTGGGCAGAATATGGATTAAGAGGAGTCATGAAGAGAAAGCCCTGGGGGTGCTGGCTGATGAAAAGTTCCACAGGAACCAACAATTTGCAAGTGCAGCCCAGAAAGCCAATTGTATCCTGGGCTGCATCAAAAGAAGCATGGCAAGGTTGAGGGAGGTGGTTCTCCCCCTCTGCCCCGCTCTGGTGATGCCCCACCTGGAGTACTGCATCCAGCTCTGGAGCCCCCAGCACAGTCACTATGAATCTGTCTTTAGGCTCTTGGTCAGTCACTGAAGAGACTCATTAGTGACTCACCAAGAGCCTAAGGACAGATTCCTGATGATGTCTACTACAGTAGCTAGGACTTCTGTTAGAGACTGCAGAAATACAGGTGATCATTGTGCCATCACCTTGCAGGACTGTCAGGTGGAGGAGCAGGTGAATGTGGCAGGTTAGAGTTGTGCAGGCAAGGAGCTGCCTGAATGAAGACAGATGGATTAAGTCTAGGAAGCATCTCTGTCCTTCAAGATGAAAACTGGCCTAGAAGGAACAGAACCATTCCCTGCAGCATTGCAAACCCACACAGGGACGCTGAGCCAGAGGCTTTCTCACTTCACCTCCCCTTACTGGAGTTACAGCTCTAAAGCTCAGTTCTGAAGAAACCTGGAGACCCCCTGATCCACTGCAGCTGGTCCCCACGCCAGGTAGATCAGCTATGGGGTCCCACAGAGGAAGAGAGGCTGTAATGTACTGAGACAGTCTCCCCAGCTGCACTCTACCTCACTGTCCTCACAGTCCCAGCTATGTCCAGTTACCTCTCCAGGGCACCCATCCACCCATGGCAGCAGCTAAGAAACCTCAGAAGTTTTCCACAGCCCTGAACAAGTCAACAGAAAGATCAAAAGATCCTGGACTATAAAAAGCAAGCTAATTGAAAATCCTTTCCAATGCTCATCATCTCATGGGCTTTTATCAACAAGGGACAGAGATATCTTATGTCTGTGACTTTTATTTGGACTGTGTCCCACTACAGTGGTGAGGGAGGGCAGAATGAAAGGGAAGCTTTCCTCCTGAATTCTCTGGCTTGAAATCTGTTCAGCTTCAATCTGACTCTTCATCTTACTGTAAAAGAGTGGGCCAAACACTGGCAGGGCCTTGCAAGGTCTCCAGCAATGCCAGCCAGCCTGGAACCCAGATTGACCAGCTGGCCAAGGGTCACTGGAGTAGCACCAGGAATGTCCAACAAGAAAAGACCCATGCCAGGCTACTGGCCCTGCACAGAGACTGCACAACCAAGAAGAGAAAAGGGCATCTTTTCACTACAGTATGAGACCAAGGTTTGAGCCTTGGAGTCAACTGGGCTAGACAAATCTCTTGCTGATTTCTGTTTTTTTTAACAGTAACATGAACAATTTTTGGTTTCATCCCAGGACATATCAGAAACTGCTAAAATCCTGGAAAAGTTTGATAGGATACAAACAAGCAACTTCCACTTTGTTCTCCTCTTTACAACATCATCAGCCCTGCAAATGAGAGAGCCCGCTGGGCTCCCAGCACAGAACCACAGCATTTCTAGGTATTTTGTATGCACCAAAACAAGGGCAGCACCATTAAACTCACATGTATGCTTTAGATACCATACTTGAGCTCGTCCACCTATCTCCCTGTCAAAGGCAGACACACAGTTTCCTAAGAATAGTTTGCATTGACTACAAATATGGCAAAGCATTCCTCAGCCAGACCATCCCCTGAAAAATGGGCAAATCACAGACTCCTGGACTAGAAAAACCTGTAGTTTCAGCAGTGTGAACCCTTGTGGTTATCAATATGAGTCTTATGGCACCTGGGCTCAGGCAAACAAAGTCTCAGGTTTTAGTTGGACAGGACAGCGAGTTTCTAGCTCTCACACTTGCAGGAAGAAAAGCTGAAAAAAAGCAGCTCAGAGACAAAAAGACACAGAGGAATAATCTAAACCTTGAAAGGCCAAGAGCTCTTGATTTTCCCAGCCACTGGTTTTGTTTTTAAAGATGGGGTTGTTGATACCCTGGCAGCTTACCTCACAAAGGTCTCTGCTATGTCACTTGTGGTTCTCAATGCACTGGCTCCCTTCTCTGGGAGCTGAATCCACTGACCAATGGCTTCTATTTCAACACAGTTGGAAACACCTTCACCAAAAAAATACACTTCCCATTACTGTGCTTCATGCATGACCCCACTTCTAACTCTAGTGAACAAATACAGAAAGTAGACAGTGCTCTGGTATTTAAAGGACACACACAAGGTAGGTAGCTAGCTAGCTACACATGGCTTGTGGTCTCCATTGGTTCGGGGACAGTTCCATTTTTGATCAGAGCCCAATTCTTGGCAAGTACATTGGATGTCTTTTAGACAAGGGCTTACTCACATGCCAGGGTACGGACTGGGCACATACTATGTCTTTATCCTTCTCTGAGAAAACTGCTAACTATTAACATAACATCTTGGGTCCTTTGAGAACTTCTGTAATGCTGCAAGACAGGTCTGTGCCTAAGCACAGCACAAGGTGGAGACAACAAACACAGCATAGCAACAGCATGTGCCACTCCAG